CCATTGGAAACGAAACCCTATAAGCCACTTATCCACACACCACCCAGACTTTTGATGCCCCTATTTTTTGAAGCATCTGCTCACAACTGCAGACATTTCAGGGCTTTCTCTACAGCCTGGTAAAGTGGAGGAACCCAAGGTTGCCTTTCACTTTTGTTTAATCAGTGTCTCTTCACAATTAAACTTTAATTACTTATTCAGTTAGTTCCTGTTACATGGTGTTTCATCTACTTTGCACCTATTTTTATGGCTATTTTTACTCAACTTCTAAAGCTTTATAGATGTGTATAGATGCATATAAGATATTCACCTATATGTCCTTTTACAAGCATATATAGTAAAACTAGTTGTTCTATGTATAAAACCCCACATTTTTAAATATTTTAGAATTTTTACTGTCTATAAATAACTATTTTTTTTCTATATTTGAGCACTTCATAGTTGAAAGGAAGCAGACAACAGAAGGAAGGGCTGCCTGGGAGCATAAGGGTATGGCAGCAAAAAAAAGCTGAAAGGCAATACAGCTGTATTTATTAGCAGATACGAAAACCTATTGGTATTTCTGTGTGTGTTCTGAAGTATTAATATGACCAAGCCATGTTATTGAGACTACATACAGAAATGGAAGAGGTTTTCTAAATAGATCTGTTTTGAACAGTAGAATCATTTTACTAGTATAGAAAGATTTAATTTCTAATCCACTGTAGAGCAAAGCACCCATTTAAATATTTGAAATATTTGGATCTCAGCAATGTCCATAGGAATTGATTTAGCCAGGGTCCTAGTCTTTTGCATTTAAATAAAACTTTGAATAAGTAATAAAGAAGAATTGAAATACTGGACCATTTTTTGCATTAAAAAAATCCTAAGAGTATGACTTTTACACTTTGTTCTGCCAGTGGTTTTCCAGAGTAGATTAGAAAGATATCCCAACTACCAGAATTGCATGTCTCAGGCTGAAATACTCAGTAAGAAAATCATTTGCATCAGTAATCATTGCCATTCTGAAAGCATTTGCTTCTAAGCATGAACATAAATCTGTTTTGAAATGCTTTAAATCTCTTTGGCTGCAATTGCTGCATTCTGAAGCATGAAATATTTCTCTCTTGGGAATATGTTTTGTTTGACTTCTATTCTGTATTTTGCTGCTTTTAATAGCAAATGGCACCCTTTGGAGTTACTTCTTAGAAAGGGGTTATTTCCTGGTTATTTGGGCATGATGATTTTCCTCTAGCTTCATGCATCGTACAATGGCTACATGTTTTTTTTAAAAAAAGCTGTTAACACACATGCTTCAGAGGCTAGTAAAACCTCCTACAGATCTTTTTAACAAAAATTGGCTTGGTGACAGTTGGGTTTTAGAAAAGAAGCACTACTTCTACTGCTGTACATTTTAGAAAAGCTCTCCCCTTCCTCCCTAATTTCTTGGAAGCTAACAATAACATTCTAATTAGTAAATACCACTATTGGAATTAGTATTGTATGACATATACAAATATGTTTTATGCAAAGATATAAAACTAATAAAGGCTTCAGAGGACATTGCTTATTCAACTGGTTCATCTGCTTGAAAATTAGTATTTGTGAAACAGATAAAGCACCCTAAAGGGCTCCTCTTTTTTTAGGGCAGAAGGAAAATACAGTGACATTTCTGAAGTAGGATGAACCTTTACTGTGCATTGTACACCATAAAATGTGTTTCCTTTCTCAGTGGAATTCTCTCTGTTTCCAAGAGATTAAGTAGAAGATAAGCTTCAGTATCTGTGCTTTATACACTAACTTCTCCTTTATGTAACAGAGGATCCAAACATCCTAAGTAAGGAACACTGGCTATAGCCAAAGGAGAGAAACATAGGTCTCCACAGGATTTTTCAAACCAGCTAAATGAGATAAATCCTTTTTCTTTTGACTGCACAGGTAACTAGCATACAATAAACCAATGACCTCAGGTGATAAATGTTAGCAGCTTAGAGATGGCCAGTAGCTACCCAAGAGATAACATTAAATAAATAGCTTTATCAACAAGTGGTTGATTCAGAGGCATTCTTTGCACGTAAGGACTCAGAATGCCTGATTTTCCGGTGATGATAGCTGTAAAGCAAAAGGAACTTCCTCTTCCACAAACCTCTGTTTATTTTATTCATCACAAATGAGGAAAATGTGTAGTTTAGTTCTACCTTATCCTGAGGGAACTCTGTTTTGCCAAGAAAAGAAAGTTCACAGAATCACAGAATGGTTTGGGTGGGAAAGGAACCCTGAAGATTGTCCAGGTCGAATCCCCGCTGCTTTGGGCAGGAACATCATCAACTACACTAAGTTGCTCAGAGATCCATCCAGCTCTCCTTGAAAACTTCCAGGGAAGGGGCATCCACAACTTTCCTGGACAAGCTCTTCCAGTGCCTCACTCACTGGAAGTTAAGTAACAAGACACATCACAGTTTACAGGAAGTTCTCTTTCATTATTCCCACTGTCTTACTGTGCAACAACAAGACTTCAAAGCAAATGGGGCCAAAAATGCATGGAATTGACTGAGCAAGAGAAAATTTGAATATGCAGCTCCCAACATAGAAGACATCTTTGGGACAATTTCTTCCTAGAAGCTGTGTCTTTAAAGGTAAATTAAACAGTATTTGGAGACATTCCCAAGCATCAGAACACAATATTTTATACTAGCAAAGTGCTAGAAAATTCCCCGGGGTGATTTTAGCATGTGCCAACTAGCAGTCTCACACAGGAGTCTGGACACCCCTTAGGCAGTATAATTTTCTAGGAAGCATTCCAAGAGGAATTCTGCATAGACACCCAGCTCTGGAGACTTACTTTCTATGACTGATTCTCACTGCTTGTTGCCACCTGGCCCCAGTGCCCAGATGCATTCATGAACATACATAGTTTACTTGTTTATAACAATAGCAAAAACTTTTCTTTATTAAGTATTCTCCCAAAAGTCACAATGTTCTTTATCCTAATATTAAAAAGTAATAATAAAAAAGAAGACCAGAAAATCCTTCCCAGTCTTCTGTAGTTATTTAATTCTCACTGGGGCATATAATTAAGTTTTTCTGTTTATTCTCTTCCTCTGGACCCATGAGGGTTGAATTGAATGGAGAGACAAATACAAGCAGCTAAAATAAGCTGGCCATCTACTTTATCTTGTCTATTTTTTAGAGATAAAAAATAAATCTAAGTCTAGGGTTTTAAGTGTGCTTGATGCCATTATTCAGTTGTCTTCTAAAATAATTTACAGTTTCTCTTTTATGATATTCAGGGTTTCTATTGAAATACTAGATTTTTGGAACATTTCCTATGCTGACCTACTTTTTTGTTAGAAAAGTTTACGTGTACTCCTCCTCTTACTTGTATATAACAAAGTCTCACTCAGATCTTAACTATGTGAATCTTACATCAATAAAAATCAAATTAACCATGGGAAACTTACACTACAAATTTTGTCTATGACATAGAGCAGAGATAATTAATAGACTAAAGGGCTTTAAATCCAAATTATTCGTAATTAAATTAATGGAGTCTTAGAATACTTTGGGTTGGAAGAGACCTTAAAAATATCTAGTTCCAACCTGGCCTTGAACACTTCCAGGTCTGGGACATCTACAAGTTCTCTGAGAAACCTCTGCCAGTGTTTCCCCATCCTCACAGTAAAGAATTTTCTTGTAATATCTAATCTCTTTAGGTTTAAAGCCATTACCCCTTGTCCTTTTAATAGATGCCCTGGTAAATATTATTTCTCCAGCTTTCTTGTAGTCCTTCTTCAGCTATTTAAAGGCATTATGTATCTTTAAAGATTCATATTTTATGTAGTACCTAATGTTATATTTTAATCATTATGTTGGGTATTTTATTTGCATGCTGTTCCAACCATATTACATGCTAATATTTAGTTTTGTTTCATCAATTGCCTATTAGAGTGCCGCCAGAGACTTCATATTCAGTCTCTTGTAATCTCTAACTTCTGCTCTATTACACTGATTATTTTTTCTCCTTCTCAAAATAAACTCAAAATTTTATCTTCTGTGAAAATCACCCTAGGTAATCATGTTCAAAATACTGCTGTGAAAAGCTACTTAACATTATGCAAGTCTTAACCTTTTTTTACTCAAACTTTTAGGAACCCTGTATCTTTCCAATGGTAGCAATAAAGCTTGACCTCTGGAAATACATTTTCTATACCCATGTAAACAATACATTGAAGTTATTAGAACTTTTAAGCTATAGAAACAAGTCTAAAAAAGCCAATAACATAAAACAAATAAAGAACCAATACATATCCTTTTTTTTTTCTTACTTTTCCCCAAATCATGTAGTGGATAGGATAACAAGTTTCAATTTCTATCATATAAAGAAAATTCACCCATTCTGTGTTTTCATGTGACTTTCATGTGAATGTGAATTTCTAATTTGAGTGAGAGAACATACATAATTCAGACTTTTCTCAAGGAAGGACAGAAGGGATTGTTGACAAAGGAACAATTTGGGATTGTTGACAAAGGAAGAATGACTTTTAATGATCTATTTAATTACCAGATATTTACCTAGTGTCCTAAATGTCTCTTGTATGATTTAAATTCAAGTGTTGCTAAATATTTTATTCTTTAATGTTTGCCTTGAATTTTCATTTAAAAAAAATTCTCACAGAGTGATTAGTTAATTAGTCTCACTGGATAACTTAACATTTGATCATTCTTAAATTTACAAGCAAGCTGCAACATTTTTGAAAAGGCTTTTAATCTTGCATTGGAGCAATGGTCTTTGTAGTCCTGTACCTTATCAGTAGCCATGCTCAATGCTTGCTCCTTCTCCAAAATCACAAAACCTCGTAATCTACTTTACTGCATAATAAAACACCACAAGAGAGATTGCTTGTGGATGTCAGCTGGTGATCAGCTCATGCCCTAAAGCATGAAGATTGATGGCCCTTGTAATTTTTTTTTCCTGAGTTAGTGTAACCACAGATGTTATTTGCTATTATTTGTTACTGCAGTTATTTATGGGCCATGCTTCCAGCCGCAAGCCTACAATTCTTGAATAAGAAGCTTATGCACTTCACCCTACCCCATCTACTTGGAGCTGTTATGAAATCTGATCTACTTCTTGATTCTTATGTGGTAAGTCAATCTATAAAGATCACAGTGTTGCAACAGATTTTTTCCCTGTGTGTTTTATTTAGGTCTGAGAGACCTTTCTAACTAAATACCTCCCAAGAACTTTCAACTTTACATCATAGAACAAGCCAAACGTTTTCTGGTAGGTTTCTTCTTAGTTCAACATTATCTCAGTTTCTGAAGATTTGCAGTGTGACATTTATGTCACAGTGTCATCTGAAGAACAAAGAGTGCTAACTCACCTATGTTGCTTTTTAGTGGGGATTAACCAAATTTTGACATGTTTCCACTTTGAATTGGTACTGAAAATATGAAACACACCAAATAATAAATGAGAGACAGATCTGGTGTCTTTATTATGGATAAATTTTTGGTAGCTTTATTATGGATAAACAATTTTAAATTTCCAACTTCCAATAAAGCACTTAAATTGTTTAATGAAAAGTCACCTCACAAAAGAAAATTTGTAATTCTAAAGCACCAAATATCATGTAAAGGAATAAATTTAGAGAAAGCAGTACAGAGTTGTAATACTTAGGTGTATGATAGCCTACACATTATAAGCAGTCTGAATACCTGCAAATCCAGATATTTTACTTTCAATAGTAAGGTAAAATTTCTGTCCTGTATCAATTGGCTATTACCTAAAAAGGCTAGGAGAATAAAGAGTTAAAAGTAAAAAATAAATTTTAGGAGTATGAGATGAATTGTCCAATGTTAGTCTTGGAGCATCAGAGCTAAAAATAGAAATCAAGAATCCTGAATCAGACTCCAATGTCGTAGCGTTCTTATTAAAGAGTACAGAGAATACGAAATATTTATACAGCAAATCAAAGACTTCCAAAAATGTGTTAAAATCTGAAATTGACGATTCTTTTTAATTTATGTGTTTTCCAGTGAATATTTCGGTTAATGTTGATCCTTCTACACTACTACATGAAGCACAAGTGGAAATATGCCAGCAGATATCAGTCTTATGAGAGGTTTTTCTTATGTACAGATGCCTGATTTAGGTTTTGTTTAATCCTTTCAAGGTCAAAAATCCTCAAGAGACTTAGAATTCTAGAGAGCTGTATTTCATAACTTTTAACAGTCCTTCTGCCCTTTTTTTAGATAATCACCAAAAGCATAAAGAAGTTAGGTTGTTCACTGAAAAATATTGGCTGACATATCTAGCACTGAAATGTCTTGCATCTGTATCAATATTATATCACCAGTTACTGTGCTACATTATTAATAATGGTAACCAATTTCTTAACACTTTAATTTTATGTCATTAACTTCTATGAAACAAGTACAGCTAATTCAGGACATGATAAGAAAACCATCACAGCAAACTATTAAGCACTCTGCATGAAGTGATCTAAGGACTAGAACCAATCTACAGAAATATATGTGAATAAAACATTCCATGCCCTCAAGCAGAACTATAGCTGTATTAATAAAAGCTTGTGGGGAAAATCCTGTCCCTGCAGAAACCAAAGGCAAAACTCCCATGGGTCTTTTACTGGGTGCTGAAATCCGTATCAATATGCATTTCCTTTTCAGATACATTTTTCCATACATTAGAATTTTGATATCATTTGTTATCAATAGATAACAAGTATATCAATAGTACCTGATAATGATTTATTTCTATATTCACAGGTGTATCATGAGGAACAAAAAAAAAATTCATTTTCAAATATAACATTTTTTAAAATAAAATCACTATTACCTCTTTAAGGAGAAGTCTCCTTTAATAAATTATTTTCAAAATTTTTGCAGTTGGATGATCTTCTTTTCTCACAATACATAAAATCACTTTGAAATTTTTGCAGATTCAGAACTGTCTTTTCTGACAATTATTTATTGTGTGCTCTTTCAAATGACAAGCACACCAATAGAAATGAAAATACTGTTTTTTTCTACAGAAAAAATCTTGAGGACCAGTTAATTAGTAGGAAAGAAACTGAGATCAAAAGGAAAAAAAACCACCTGTCATTCTAAATCCAGGTTTCTGTTCCGCTGGTTAAAAAAAAAAAAAGGGAAAAAACCCCTAAATTTTGGAAACTGCAGAATACGGGCAAGTGCATAAAAGGATAGCCATACAAAACTATGAAACAACTTTCATGTGAGGAAATTTTTATAAATTTTTGGTTTGGAGAGAATATATTTGAGGAGGGAAGTGATGGATTTTTACAGAACTCAATGGTGTGAACAAAATTAGTCGGAAAAGGTTTGCAGTTTCTCATAACACAGCATCAAATAAAAAAAGTAATAGGATAATTTTATGCATAAATTTGACCACGCATGTAAGTCTCCTGCTAGTGCCTCATCCAGTTGTGAATGCCATTACGGGAGGGAACCTGGAGAGTCTCTTTTAATCATAGCCTGCTAGCATGTGTGCAAGAACCAGATAAAGAAGAATATGAGAGACCTGGCTTCTCTTAATTTGATTTCTGGTCCCTATCACAAAGTGAACACACGACAGCAATGCATAAGCAGCTCTATGAAAAGTTGAAAAGACTTCTTTATAGAACAAGAATTGAATAGGAGATGACTTGTGACCCTAGAGCACAGTCCATTTCAGACAGTCCTGTCAGTGTAAAGTGCTGTTCCTTGCTCTGTTAACTTGATAGAGTTAATTGAGCCCAGAGAGAACAGATTCAAGCTTTTTCCTTACTAACCTTCCACTGTTAAAACTCAGGAGATGACAAGGAAATTTTTTAGGGAAGTGAGGTATTGATGAGAAACAATAGAGTACAATGACTCCCTTTAGTAGCTCAGCTATCAGGATTTTTATGTATGTGCCATTGGACAAAATTTACAATACTAGACTTTAATCCTTTAGCCTTTTAAAAAGCATCAGAAAGATTTTTTATTGAAGGAAAAAACCAACCAACCAAAAATGAACCCAAAAAACCAAAACAAAAAAATAACCAAAAAACCAACAAAAAACAACAACAACAAATAAAAGAAAACAAAACCATAACAAAGCCCAAACCTCTTTGCCCCTGAACCACCAGATACAAAAGGACAAATTACACCACAACCTACCACCTGCTACACCCTGCCCTGTGACAGTTTTCTTTCCTTTCAACTTTCAAGGCCTAAACCCATGCTGCCATTTTGCACACAAGAAGACAGTTTAAGCTGTTTATAGAAAAAATTATCAAGTATGTACATTATAAATCTCCAATTATTTTTAATCACAGCATTTAAAAAAGAGAATTTGTTAGCAGACATCACATGACCTAATTTCGTGCTGGAAATTTTTCAAGATGCTTAGGAAGAAACAGAAAAAAGTAATTTAAATAGTGCATTAAAATTTTATGTAGAATGCAATGAAAATATGTTCTCTTTAAAGTTCAAAACTTTTCCTTGCTAGAAAACTAATTTGCAGGTCTGTTCATTAAAATAAATTTTATATTACTAAATAATTTAACATTTGAGTCTGTGGGTTTTTTTTCTTCTACATCCTCTACTTCACTGCCTTATTTTTGTGGATTGTGAGCTCACCAAGAACTTAAAAATACCTCAGATGAATGTAATGAAATTACACTCAAGGTTCCATACCTTGGCTTCAGGTTGTCTTTATTACTGGTACAGTAATAGCAGTGCTAACATTTGTGTTTATGTAACAGCTTCTATTTTAAATCATCATTTCAGTTATTCACAATTTCCTCATGCCTTCTGTTTGAGGATAAAATGTATTAGGAATAAACCACCCAAATATTTTTTCTGGGTTTATGTGAACAAAAATCAATTTAAGAACTGCAAGACAACTGAAGGAAAAGAAACTGCCCTGTGGTCCATGTACTTATTCCTGGCAATCTTTAATTTAAAACTATGTATATTTATAGATGTAGTGAAATAATGGATAATAAGAATATGCCTTATGGGAGAACACTCTGTGGTGATCTAATGGAAACATCTTTTTTTTCCTTAGTACTAGAATATAAGAATACCTTTCTGTTGTTTCAGGAGTTCTTTTCCTGCTCCTCTGGTTGGTTATTTTTATGACAGGTGGTTTTATTAATTTAAATTAAAGCTCTCAATGCAACAATTTTTCCATGTAGGATTCTTGGTAGTGTAGCAGAAAATATTGAAAGAGACGGAGTAGCAGGAGTAAGGATCAAGGGCTTATGTAGGCCTTTCTGAGATGAGCTGCATAGTTCATTTCCCACATACTCACCAGAGCAGAGAGAGTTTAGTAGTAAGGGGGAAAAAAACTTAAAAAATTAAAAATTTAAAAGATTGTGTGTGAGGATTTTGCCTTCTCAATAGATTTATTTATAGTCTGCTGAACATCAGAAACTTGCATTTCTCACAGTGCAACCCCAGACTGTCACATTTCACTAGAGCCTTACATAGTGTTTGGTCTTGCTTGGTTTCACAGGCAGCAGTTAAAACCCTGCCTATTGTTCTGGTGGCTTTATCTGACTGAAAATTCTATGCCTTTTTTTTTTTTTTTCCTTTTGCTGAACATCTTTTGTAACACAGATGTCAAAACTATCACCCAGTGAAAAAGATGTGTGGCAGTGATGTGGCATAACTGTCAAGGCACAGAGATGTTGTGCGGAGCAGATGCACCCGTTATGTTGCACTATGTAGGTTATCTGTCTAAAGTATTAATCATTCAGGATCCATAGGCTGCTGTCATGGATTTACTGATATGCAGTAACTGTATAAATATATCCTAATTGGCTACCTGTGCTGAGCTGCTGAAACACAACACCAAGATGCAAGTGCAAATAAAATCTCAGAAGGGAAAATTCATTACCAGACAACACTTCCCTTTAGCCGCTGAAAATAGGAACTATTCCCCATAAACCCTAGTAGCAGTGAACCATCTTAACACATTCATACATATTACCCTCCTCCTCTCCACTGACTGCACTTCCCTCACGAACATCCACCTGCTCCTACATGGAGTCCTCCACAGGCTGCAGTGGTGAGGTCTTCGCCACAGGCTACATGCCAATGCCAACCCTTCCATGGCTGTCTTCCAGGAGGTGAAGTGGAGCATCTCCTTCCCCTCATTCTTCCCTGACCTGGGTGTCTGTAGGCTTGTTCCTCGCACTCTTTCTGCTCACTGTACCAGACAAACAGCACTTTGCTTTTTCTTGAATACATTTCCACGAAGGTGGCAGCACCCTGACTGCGGGGCTCAGCCTTGCCCTGCAGTGGATCTGTGGGGCTGGCTGGAAGGGCACACATGGCCCCTCCTCACAGATGCTGCCCTTGCAAACCCACCCCCACCCTGACACCACCCAACTCTTGGCATATACAGATAATACAATTCACATAAAACAATATCAAATGGTCTTTTCTAAACATTGTATTTTCTCATATTGCATGGCTTCTACAGTTTTAATTTACTTGGTTATTGCAAACACTATCTTCAACTTTGCTGATTTTAATCTACTACCCCAAACTCTTGGCACATACAGATGTTATAAATGATCAAATCAATAGCCAAATGTATAAAAAATTTAACAACGATTTATTCGGTCAATTACAAAAAAATAGAATTTCGAGCAACTACCACAGTCAAGACAGCGTCAGTCCCGGGTACTGGCGCTGGGTGAAACCAGAGGTTCAGCTGACAGAGTGACGGCTTCCCCTCAAAGATTCACCCGAGTGTTTCCAGCATCCAGTTTATATACAGTTTATTGTGCCTGAGGCACAGAAGACCACATCTTTCTGTTCATTTCTTTGAATGCAAAGCTATTTCTATACATATGTTGAAATAGACAAAGACAGGTCCTAGTTTTCAAACGAGTGTCTGAGCATCCAGGCAGAGTTTGTTTTCACATGTAATAAGTTGGTATCGGTTCCTGAGTACCACAGATGCAATCAGGGCGGGTCTGATTCTCATGAAATTCTTGGGACACTGCAATTAATCATGGGCCAGGAAGGTCCTGATGTTATCTCCCAGGTGTAGGTGCCAAGGAAATCATCACTGATTGCCCAGTATGGTCCCATTCAGACGTTAACAGGCCTGATATTATCTCAACACTGCCCGGAATTAGTTACAATTTGAATAGAACTCTGCTCCTGGCTGGAGTGGTTAGAAAGCACAACTTCTACAATGTTTTATATTCACACATATCTACTTATACAGCATGAATTAACTCTATTACATATCAGAAAGATAATACAATACACATAATACAATGCCAAATGGTCCTTTCTAAACAATTTTTTGGTAGTTTAATATTTTGATTAATAGTTACATATTAGGTAGTATTTGATACACAGTATTTTGACGTTTGGAGCAGTAAACATGGAAGAAATGTTGCTGCTAATCAGAAAAAATACATTTTAAAAATAAAAACCAATTTAATTCTTGAGAGTGTATCCTTAGTTTTTTGAGAAATATTTGACTTTGAGATTATTTTTAAAATCTGAGCAATCTAGAGTGCTCTAACAATAAATGAAAATTTTTTAAAAAAGAGATTGTTTGTGTTAAAGTGGAAACAAATATTTCATTAAAAAAGTCTACTACTGTCAATTTTTGTAAACTAAAATAAAAAATAAAATTTTATTTCATCACTTGGAAGTTTTTGTCTAATTAAATGAAGACATTTTGACTCAAGCTTCTATCTTTTATATGTATATGTATAT